CATACAAAAGCGAACGAGAGTACCGTTTAAATGCAAAAGAGAGCCTTTACAGCATTTGCCACATATGTATACACCGTTTTAAAAGAAACTCGAGGCACAGTGAAAGAAAGCAAACAGGCTCTGTAGTTTGTACACAACGTATGAATGCTATTTAAATTCAGATAGAAAGACACAATAACCGTCGCAGTAAGAGAAGATATAAAATGAAAACCACGACATGAGAGACAGAGGAGAAAAAAAATCTAAATGTATTTAAAATCCGTTGAGCAATTGAAGGCTGATTGAACGATAATATCACCAATGAATTATGTATGTGACTCTAATTCGATAATTAGCTAAGACTGCCAGTTGAGCACAACACACACATACACAATTTTTTTTTTTTTTTCAAATAAACGAATGCTTAATTTTGTATGTGTCAGCAGCAACGGATCTGTTTTTTGTGTCATTCAAAAGTAACCAAACACACAGCGGCACAAAGAAACACAGAGTAAAAAAGAATATAAAAGATGGATCAAGCAATTTGTATGGTTAACCGCATTGGTGAGTTGTGCGTGGATGGGGCGACAATTTGCGTACGATCGATTAATGCAATAATTCATATCAAAATCAATTTCAATTAATTCATGTCGTCGGCATGACTTTTTTTTTGTTGTTGTTTAAATTCATTTTAACAAATGACTTTATATCTTTGCATTTATACCTGTAATTTTTGACAATTTAAACATTTGAACTTTTTACGCGTGACCGAAGCGGTATTACTTTTGTAAGTTTTTTTTATATTCATTCATTCGTTCTTTGTGTTTGTTCAATTGATCGACATGTACACACTTACCAAAAAAAGAGTTGACAATGAAATTACTCACAGTTGCTCACAGTGATTTCGTTACCTTTACGTATTCCATTGTGTGCGCATTTGCTATGTTCACCAACAACAACAACTCTGACTCAACCAATAATTACAAACAAGTGAAAAGTAAATAAATCAACAGAGTTCGCAAGGATCGAAATAAAATAAAAGCGGTTTCTGTTGTTTTTTCGTTCTATCCACTTACAAGTGTTTGTTTTCCTGGAATTTCTCGTGTTTTTTTTTTTCGCTCAGCGAGTCAACGATTTCTCTTGAACAGGTATTAAGAAGAATTGCAGACAACTTTTTCTTTTATAAACCAATATAGAGAAAGGATTTGGATAGAGCCACACGAAAAAAAAATTAGCTACCGTCTTCGTTTATTTTTCAGCTCAAGAAATGAAAGCGAGATTTGTATTAAGACAACACATTTTTCTGTTCAAAATGACGATGACGAGCTGTACTGCACGAACTTCGACACCAGCTCATTCAAGAGCTTTGTGTAATCCATTTCTATTTTCTGCGTTCCTAAGAATTTAAAGAAAGAATAAAGAAGTTGATACAATTTTTGCACTCTTTTCTATAGATATATTTTTTTTTCGCTTTATTTGATTCTCGACTCCAAGTTTTTTTTTTTTTTTTTTTTGAAAATGATGAGAAACATTTTTATCCTTTATAATTCGTTAGTTACATACAATAATCTTAATTACTGTTTCCAATTCTTTCTCTCCGTCTTTTTTTCGTCTTGCTTTTCTTTGCTTTGCTAAACACATAAACATTATGGACCGTACCTTTAAATCTATTTTCATAAATTTTTCAATCCGTTTTCTTTCATTTTGTTTGTAATCATGTTTTAATATATATTTTCGTTCTTCTTTTTTTTTATCTATATCTCTTCGCTTGCAATTGGCAGCTCTGTATTTATATATTTATTTCGTTTTTGTTATACCGAAAATTTATTTCGTGTTCTTGATAAAACCCTAACTACATGAAAATGCATCATACACACACCCGACAAAAAAACAAACAAACCATGTAATCGGGAGAGAAAGATAGAGGGAAGAGAGTGAGAGAGCGAAGAAGGACTAAACGAAGAAGTTGCACCGAAAACCCCGAAAATCAGATATCGAAAATTAATCGTTCAAAGAAAAGATCGAGCCTAAGCAACCAATGCCGTTTTCATAAGAAAATAAATGCACTTCGTAATCATTGGTACACATCATTTATCGCTTATCACGATGGATCTAGGTTTTCATTTTGGCTTGTATATCGGTTGATATATATTTTTTTCTTTTTATTTGTTTTACTCTGCTTCACTCAGTCGCTTTTGTTTTTGTTTCATTTCTTCACTTGTTCTATTCATTACTTGCCATATATAGTAAAATTCGTTCAGGTATTTCTCACAGAGCCGGTTCACTTTCTGAATGTCATTTCATTCTAAAAACAAAACAAAACATATTTTTTTTCTACTTGTTGTTTAGTGTTTTTTCTACGAATTTTTTTTCTCGTTTTTTTCCTGTTTTTTTTTTTTCAGGCATTTACATCGTTTTTAAGCGATTCTCTTTCGTCGCATTTCCCATATACAATCCATTCTCGTTCTCTCTCACTCTCTGTCGCTCCTCTTCAACACATATGCCTATATATATATTTTGTATAGCACCTATTTTGTGTTTTCAATGTATGTCCATCCAATAGGAACTTTGAGCTCTTTTTTTCCTTTCTTCGTTAAGGTATTAGTTTAAATTACAAATTTTAAGTTCGACTTAAGTGACAAATGAATATAATACAGTATTTACAAGCGAAAAATTACAGTCTAGTTAATATATATGTCTGTATTTATATTGAGATACGGTGCGCTGAAAATACTTTTACTGTGCAAGTCGACGAAGATTATATATATATATGTCGGTGACAATAACATTACAACAAAAATCGTTTATATCATAGTTTCTTCCCTGTGTATTTGTATTTACCGTACATCTAGTGCATTTTGTCATGGAGATCGTCATATAATTCATTTAATTTTGCTGAGCTCTGAGCTACTTTCAATAAGAAGTTGAAGAAGGACAAATAGTAAAAGAAGCATACCTTTGAATCAATTAAATGCACCCTTTTGGCAAAAAAGAACATGCAACTTGAACATTTTCGGGATAGAACGAACAAGCGCCTTGGTTGCGCGCGCGCGTCCGTTTTCGTTCGCGTGTGTTCAGACAAGCAAGCCGCTTGAACACGTCAGCGCACATCGGACCCATGATACGAACGTGCAGATAATATAATGTACACCGCACTTTGAGCCCGTAGTTTCAAGTTTTGAGATAGGTCTTCGATTTTTCCGTGCACAATTTTGAGCAGAGTAAAGTACGGACAATGTATGTGTGTGTGTGTCGTTATACTGCATCCCGTCGTTTTCGTGTGCAATGCAGTCAGACGAAGAATTTTATCAGTTTTAACTCAAAGAGGCAAAAGGTCAGCAGAAATAGTTTGTACAAAAATGTTTTTTTTTCTTTTAGTTTCGTTCCTGTGTGTGCATTTACCCATCGCGAATCGTGTGCTGCTTGCTTGTTTGAACACATTCAGTTGCTGTATGTGTTTGTGTCCCTTGTAAAACATTAAGCCAATTCAATTAAGTTCAGACAAAAAAAAAGGAAATAAATAAGAAGAAATGAAGCACAAATAAAAAGATCGATAAAACAAATTTTGATTTCAAATATACAAAGTATTTATTTTTGACTTTTTTATCGTTTTTTTGCGTTGATTTTTTTTATTTTATTTTTTTTTGCATTGGAATTTTATAAAATTACTATTAACACTTAATTCATTGTTGTAGTTTTTCTCAATTTTAATTTAAATTCAATCATTTCTTTATGTATACATATATATTTAATATATTAATATAGGGCTATTTTTATAATGATACGAATACTCTTTATTGAATACTATTTACAAAATAAAAGTCTGTTTCGATTTAGTTTTAAGTTTTTTTTCTTCTTTCTTTCAATTTAAAGTATGCGGTTAGTCATCGAAAATGGTTGGTGTTGTTGTTGTTTTGCAATTAAGTAGGTTGACAATTTGTCACATCTAATGTCGTCCCTAACTTCTTATACATAACAATAAATCTCGAGCGTGATTTAATTAATTTGCTAAAAAAAAACAAGATGTGACATATCATTTCGTTTCGTCAGTCGATTCGATTCATCATTTCTGGCATTTTCTCTTTTTTTTCTCTCTCAACTTAGCACATTTTTATTTCCATTAAAAGTCATAAAAATCATATCGCTGATCATTTCACATAATATAAATATCTCTTTCTCTCTTTATATGTGTCTCTTCATATATATATAATATATCTGTTTCTTGTTCTCTGTCTTGTTTGTCAGTTAATTATCTCGAATTCCATGTAAAAAATGTTAAAATTGTTTGAGTCTCTTTTTTTCTAATTTCGTGCGTTTTACAATGTGTATTAATATAAAAAACAAAAACAAAATCAAGCAAAAGCCAAATGAAACACATACATATATAGTAATCGAGATGATCAGCGAGAATACATTGGTTCTGTGAATTTTTTTTATCGTTTTTTAGTTTGTTTTTATACAAAATAAAAATTAAATGTCGAATCGTCGATTCTTTGATGATAAGATCGAAAATGTAAAAAAAACGCAATAACTAAATAATATTGGACATTAAAATGAAATAGAATTAATTTAAATTAATATCATTTATGCAATGAAATTTGACCACTAAAACTAATATCACTTGGTTTGTTTTTCATTCCGTTTTCTTTTCGTTTCGTTTCTTTATCTATCATCATCAGTTAATTTTTGTGTTTTGTTTCATTTAAAAAGATACTTTCTAAGATTTATAACATTTAAAACAGATACTTTATCATTTCAATTGAATGTTTTTCTCTCACTTTGCTTTTTCGATTTTCGAAATATCAAAACAAATATTGAGCATTTAGCAAGTTTCTATATATATATATCGAACCCTTCATTACAATTTCGATCACCTTTCTTTCCTTGTTTCCATTCCTTTTTTTTATATTAAATTCCTATTACAATCCGAGGGATGTTTTATGATAGCTAAGTGTTGAATCATTAGATTTTATTTCTTTAATTACATTAATTTTGTGTGAGTGTTTTTTTTTTCTTTTTAAATTACAGTGAATGCGCGCGTGTATATTTTCATTTTTTTCTATTGTATGTTTGTGGCAGTCATATGGTGTGGCAAATGGCAGTACAATTAGATTAATTGATTACAATGTATAAATCCTATCACTTTTTCGTTCGGGGTGTTCTACTGTGTGTATTTTCATTACATTTACAAATAGTAATGACACCGAAACTCTTTTTGTTCTATATATATTTTATTCATATATGGTGTAAGCACATCTTTTTTTTATCAATTATTAAACAATCTGAGTCTCAATTTGATGAGAAAATAAAAAGAAACACACAACAAATTAGTTAAATGAATTGTTCCGTTATTTTCTATATTCGTTTTATTTCATTCGTTCTCGTGTGTGTCAATCGAATTTTTGTTCCCATTGAAATGCCAAACTGAATCGGAATGTGAGAGAAGTAGCAATTAAAAATTCCAACGAGTTGAATATTTAATGGAGCCGGGACAATTTTCGTAGGTGATTTTCAAATTGGAGACAATTTTACACACCACCGATTTGATTGAAACATTTCCCATTCGTCAACGATTCCAAAAATAAATGCTCAGAATAAAATTGAAGCAAAATTAAATAAAAAAAAATAAAAATCGAAAAACGAAAACGCTTTACACGTGAACACTTAATAACCGTTTAAATCGTATTGTTATTATCTAAGTGATTTCAGTCATTTTATATTAGCATATATAGACGATGAGATGCGTTGACGATTGTGGAAAATTGCTTGTCAAATATGAAGTCGCGTAATAAATTATCGAAACTGATTAAATACGATAAAGTGAATTGATATGGACTACTGATTACAATCGATTTTATATTTATGTTTCGTGTTTTGTCAACGAAACATTGACACGAACAGAAAGAAAGAAAAAAAAAAACAACTGTCAACGAATTTGAATATTCACGACAGAATAAAAACCGATGATTCAGTGAAATTTTGAACATGTTAATCCAAAACGAAACCAAAACAATCGATTTTCGATGCGAAGAACAAAAAAAAAACTACTTTGAATTCGGTAGTCATTTCGATAAAGTATGAGGTTCTATGCATGAAATACGTTGCTCTTTATAAAATTGATGGCGTGTGTATTTTTTTTTTGATTTTGTTCCGATTCAGGTAGCAAATATTTGTTGTTAGGTGTAAGTTAAAAAAGGGGGTGTTTCTTAAATGTTATATATATCCAAATTTGAGCGTTTCTTTAATTTTTCTTGCTGTTGTTGTTGCTCAAGATTCCAGAGAAACGATAAGGTCGATTTAATAAAAAAACATGTTCGCTACACACTGCAAAATCGATGGCTATAATGTTTGGGCTCATTGATTTAATCCACCATCGAGTCGATGGCGATGGCGATGGTCAATGGCTTCAAATAACTTGTTCATCAATTTGCGCAAATGTGTAGTCAAATACATGGTTACATATAACAGGTGTTTTTACTCTTTGCACTCTGTGTCTCAAACAAAAAGGAAAACAAAAATCGATATAAACACAGGAAAACTACAAAACTACAGACAGAACATGAAATAAAAAGAACGCGTATCTCTTCCCTGTGATTCTAATTAATAGTTACTTCGGTTTTGTATTTCTTATACATTAGCAATATTATTTTCATTTCAAGTATAGTTTGTGTGTGTGTGCGTGTGTCACAAAAAGAGTATGTGTCTTGTATTCGATTAAAGTGAATGAAAAATATAGTTTTTTTTTTTAATTTCTTTGTTTGCATGAAAAAAAATGAAAACGGAAGGAAAATAGAAAGGATTTTTTTTTGATTTCGACTAAACTATACACATTTATGGGTTACGTATATGGTGAAAAACATGAAATGGTTAATTTTTTTCGTTTTTTTTTCTTTTTTACTTTTCAAATAAATATTCTTTTAGAGTATGATTACCGTGACTGGAGTAGCCTTGTGGATGTGGCTCGGGTATAATATAAATGCGTAGTTTATTTTTATGCTGTATGCCTATTTGCTTTTTGTGCACGCACCTTAGACGAAGTAAGCACGACCATTTCGATTCATTTGCGGTGTTTCTGGTATCGTTGAATAGACATGGCCGAGCGATGAGGCGGTCGAACGACATACGTAGTTTGTTTGTTGCTGTAATGTGGCTGTTGGTTCGTAGTGAGACGATGTACAAGACAGTTCATCTTCGGTGATGCTCATGCTATGCGATGGTGATGTGGCCGCATTTGATTGACGTGACAGTGAAATTGGTGATAGTGACAGTTGATCCTGTGTCAATTTCTGTTGATGTTGCTGTTGATGGTGTTGTTGTTGGTGTTGCTGATGCTGTTGGGCTTGTTGGTGCATTTGTTCAACCACTTCCATGCTAATATTTGTGGCATTGTTCATTGGCACAGCGAAACCGGGATGATTTTTACACCATGAATCAAGTGTTGTTGGTGCTGGTGTATAGCGTAAATTTGGGCTGCGCGATACGGTGCCCAATTTTTTGATTGAACGATTATGCGATGGTAGATCGGGTAATGCAAATCGAATTTTATCCCAGCATCGTTTCTCACCCCAGCAAATGACTGGGCATGTTTGTACCAATAATTGCATTGTAGCATCCATAACGATAAGCTCAAGTGGTGCGGTTAAAATGAGCGCAATTTTATGACGACGATACGATGGACGAATATTTTCGATGACCGATTGTAATGCCAAACGGAATGTTGGCTGTGACCATTCATTTTGTAAGAATGCCATCGATACGACGATGATGATTTTTTTCGATATATCGGCCGCACTTTGTAATGAATCGTTCAGATATGCCGACGAATGAATGTCACGATGATGCAAGCATAAATTGTAGCCGCTATTGTGTAATTCGGATGCGATGACTTGTAGTACAAAATCTGAATCGTGAATACTGTAAACAAAGTAAGCATCATACAATTGGTCTCCTTCTTCAGCGCCACTTTTGCCCGGTGTTTGAGTTGGATCTTTGAATAGACGTATGCCATATTTTGCGTGTGCCCACAAACGGAAATCTTGTCGCAATACACAGACTAATGCGATCAATAGGCCGGCGCCAATGATTGAAACGAGAACAGCAGCCAACAATGGCACATAATTGCCACCGATTAAACCATTTCCAATGACCGTACGTTGAACAGCCGATGTTGCGCTACCATTTTCAAGTGCTTCTTCGCAATGCTTGATCATTTCGCCAACGTAACGTTTATCGACGCACATCATTCGGGTAACATCAAATTCACCCTGGAACTCTTTGATCCATTCGCTAAGTTTTAGTAGATTTTCACAGTCGCATCGCCAACGATTTCCCTCCAACAATAATTGTGACAATGAACCGGCCTCGTATGCGGATGTCAATTGATGCCATGGTGCAAAATTCGTGATTTTATTATGATTTAGCGCTAAAACTTCCAATTTTTTCAACGATCCAAATGTATTGTTGCCAATGTGTCCAATCGCATTTTCGCTCAAGTACAATTCATTCAAATTTTTCAATTGATCGAATTCAAATCCGCGCAACTCTTCGATTTGATTATTTTCCAAATGTAAAACTTTTAAGCTTGGCACACCGTTAAATGTGCGATTGTGTAAGCTCAAAATTTTGCTATCATTTAAGTACAATTGTTCCAATTTTCGTTTTCCAATAAACATGTGACTCGACAGATCGCCCAAATCGTTGCCATCCAAGAATATTGTTGTCGCATCCATTGGCAAACGTTCGGGTACTTTGGTGTAGCCAGCATTACCGCAATCAACAACATTTGCGCTCCATGTATGATCATGATAGCATGTACAACGATCGGGACAGGTCATTTTGCAATCGCACGCTTCAAATTCACAGCAATTGCACAAGGCAAAACAGTGACTTTCGTATTTGCATAGGAAATCTTGTGGTTTTAAATCCATTAGCGGTCGTACAACCGCAACACCATTGCGCTCGTGTTCCATGGTGCACATAACCAAGTCTAAATCAAGTACTCGTGGATGTTGGCGCAAATGGCTTAATTCGTTAATGCGTTGCAACCATTCCATATGACAATCGCAATGAATCAAATTATCGCCAATATAAAATTGTGGCATCTCTTTAACATCGGATATTGGATTCAATGCAAATGCCGAAATGTCCAATTCACGTATTTGGTTGCCATACAATACGACCTTTTCTAAATGTCGTTTCTTTAAAAACGTACCTGGTGCGACCTCACGAATTTTATTATTATTCAAATATAATGTTTGAATACTGTTCGGTATGCTGGAATCATCGATGCGAGCCAAATTATTGTACGAAACATCGAGCATTTTGATTTGCGTGATATTGCGTACATCGAAATAGTTGCCCAATCGCGATAAATTGTTTTTATGGATGTCGAGCCATTCAAGTGATGCCGGCAAATGACTGTAATCGAACTGATGTATATTGTTATCGGATACGTTGAGCCACACAAGGTCTGGCAACGATGTAAACACACTCGATATATCTTGAATTTGATTATTATCTAAACGAATGGCACGCAATGTTGGATTCGAGCTAAACGCCGACTGATCGATTTGTTTGATTTGATTTGATGCTAGATTCAGTACATGAATCGATGACAATTTAATGAATGTGTCTCGGGCGATGGTTGTTAGTTGATTATCGACTAAACGCAATCCCAATAGTCGTTTCAATCCATCAAATGAGTCGTTGTGTAGTGTTTCAATGCGATTTTTGCCCAAATCCAATGATTTGAGGAAATGCAATTTCTGCAAGCAGCTCGGTATTTCGTTGAGTGAATTGTCATTCAAACTAAGATCATTCAAATTGGTGAGATTTTCGAATGCATTGTCGTCGATCGATTCGATTTTATTTGATTCCAAAAATAGCTGGTTCAGCACGTACAATTCGGTAAAATGGTATGGTTCGATGCGTTTCAAATTGTTCGATGACAGTGTTAGGGCGTGCAAATTTTTCAAATCAACAAATGCACCCGAATCAATAGTATCGATGTCATTGTGATCCAAATGTAATATTTGTAAACTGTACAAGCCACGGAATACGAATTGATCGATTTTCATAAGTGAATTGTGTCCCAAATTTAGAACGACCAAACGCATCAATCCGGCAAATGTTTCGCCATTGATCCATGTTGATGTGAGATCGTTTTGCGATAAATCCAATACTTCTAAATGTTCAAGACGTTCGAGTAAACCAGGTGCCAAGGCTGCCAATGTGTTATTTTGTAAATACAATTGCGTGAGCTGTGGTGATGAATGGAATAACACTCGTGGCAATGCAACTAATCGATTGCTTGAAATATTCAATATGTTAAGTGATTGTAGACCGTTCAGTGCGTGATCGCCAATCTCAATAAGTAAATTCTCCTGCAGCATAAGTGTTGTGAGCGATCGTAATGCTGACAATCCGTTGTCGGGCAACGATGAAATGTCGTTGTGTGATAAATCGAGCACTTCCAAACCGGTGTTGCATGCTTTGCCTGGCGTTGATGAACCACTACCGTAGCCAGCAAAGCCCAATTGAGCGATATCGGTGAGACGATTTTTTGTTAAATTCAAATGTTTTAGTGAATACAACGGGCAAAATACTTCCGTTGGCAAACTCCAAATATTATTGTCGGATAAATCTAAATCTTGTAATTCAGTTAGGCCACGAAAGCATTCCGGATGCAATTCCAAATTCATTGGGCTCCAGTCGGAATTATGCGTTCGCAGCGATAATATTCGTAGATTACGTAAACCTTGCAATACCATTGATGGTACATATCGAATTTTACAAAATTCTATGGTTAAATTATTTAAATTACGTAATGCGCTTAGAAAAACGCCCGCATGTTGGCTGTTTGTTTCCAGTGAACTTTCAAAAAATAAAACGTCACTGCATTCAAGTCGCATGGCCGAGATGCGATCCGTTTGGTATACACTTAAATTACTAAGTAAATTATCAATACCGCTAATTGTCCTTAATTTACATTGAAGCATATGCTTTACGTTAGATGTGTCATTTGAGGCGTCGGTGCCGGGCAATCGTTGCCATTTACAACCGCGCGGTGCTGCATCCGCTCGTCCCAATAAAGATGAACGGGCTGTAACTAATGTGATGCACAGACAAATTGCCAGTATCACACTGAATATTTGCTTTGACGATGTCATCATTGTGTCTGTGTGTGTGTGTGTTTTTGTGTGTGGTTGTGAGTTTGAAGTGATTTTTCGGTATTGTGTTACACAAACCGAATAAAATTTCCTCTTGAGTGTATTTTTCTCGTTATGAATTTTGCACTCTAAAATGCATAAAATATGTGGAATGCAACATAGGCAACACAATATCAATGTCTTTTTTCACTTTATTTTCTTTCGTTCTTAGAATTCAGATATACGTTTTTCTCAACACCCAAAAATAAGTTTTGCCTTGATGTAGCTTCTTTTTTGTTGTTGATTGGTATTCTTCTTCTTTCGTTGTGTCGTTTTCTGTTTTCTGGTCGATGCTGAGATTCTTCTTCTATATATCGTGTATGTGAGAGTGTACTCCTTCAATCCTTCAGTCGATTTTTTTTCTCCATACGTGATTTTTTGTTCATTCTCTGCTTTATTTTCGGTAGAGATTGAATGCCTTTTTTCGTTTTCGTTATTATTATTTTTTTTCGCTCTCTCGTCTGTGTCTCAATGTTGAGTTTTGATGTGAATTCAAACACAGCGAATGGTAAAAATAAAGAGCAGTTGAAACTGAATCAACACACTCGAAAGTCAAACGCACGAAAAAAAAAACTGTATTTTTTTTTGTTCCTCTATATATTCTCTGTTTTCCTCGGCTTCTTTTTCTGTGTCTATGGTGCCTTTTTATATTGCGTTTTCAGTTTGGTTTTTTGACTGGTAAGCACTCATCGTAGGTTTGCCTCGGTGCAGTGCATAGACAAATAAAATAAACTAGCCGAAAACGAATGAAGAGAGAAACAAATCACAGTTCTTCAGTTTGGCCTTCTTTCTTTTTTCGGATCTATGTATGTGTTGGATTTTTTCTTCTCTCGAAAAGAAAAAAAAAACGACAAAATATTTTAGTTTTGCCCGCGTTGTGCCTTTTCTACCTCTTTTGGATATATTTCTTATTGAGATTTGTCGTGCAATTCTCTTTTTTCTTCTCTCGATGCGGCTTTCTTTCCTTCGCTTTTTTATTTATTGAATTTTTCTCGTCGTTCTCAAGAGATGAACGAAATAAAATCCAAACTAAACAAAAATTGTATAACTTTTCGTGTGTTGTTGTTGTTGGTGATTTTTGTTTCTTTTCTTTCGATCTATCTCTGTAGATTCCCAGATGGTAATTATATCGATCTCATGGCATAGACATCGATCGATTGTAGATTTTATTAGTTTGGCTCATTTAATTTCGGTGCGACGTGTCTATCTCTATAGATTTCAACATGCGTGCACATAAAACGTTGTATCGCGTTCACTCTTTTTTTTCTTGTTGTATATATTTTAAATACCACCAAATACCGACGAAATAAATATTTATGTCGTTGTTAGTTTTTTTATTCTCTCGGTTCTTTTTTTTCTCTCTATATCATTACCGTTTGGATAAATTTGAGATTTGTTGCTGTTGTTGTTGAGTTTTTTTCGACGTTGATCGCATTTGAATTTTGATTGTTTCTGTCGTTCGTTCTTTTTTTATATTCTTTTTATTCAAGCGTTTATATTAAATCATTTTTGTTGCTGTTGGTCGATGCTCTTAAAACTTTGTCGTCGTTTTGTTATAGTAATGTTGCTGTTATCTGACTTTTGTATGCGCTATCAAAAAGTTTTTCTTCGCAATGTTTATGTTACTTTTTTGTTGTCGGTGTCTTTCTCTTTATCTCTTGTTGTATGCACAAAACTCTCTGTCCCCATATGATGTCACACAGCTTTTCAAAACACATTCAATTAGAGTTTTCAAGTTTTGGTCGTCGTTTTTACTGTTTATTTTGGCTGTATATACATGTTATAGATGGATTGATGCAATTTTCAGCTTAATTGCAGTGCATTTAATTCGATATGGCAGTATGGTTTTCATTTGTAAATATTGCATGTCTGAAATGCATTAAAATTGTTCGAGTATGCTCTAACATTGCAGATGCAATAAAACGATTTGACAAGAATGAAAAGAAAAAAAAGTATCGAGTATGCGATAATTGTTGTTATTGTTGTTGACGTCGTTTATCAGCGTCTATGTGTATATTGTATAAGTGCTTTATATTTAGACTTTCTTTCGTCTTTTTTTTTCGGATTTTGATTTCTTTCCATAAATCACACTGTGCTATTATAACATATAAACACTGAAAATGTTCTGCACAAACAATTGTTGGTTGAGTTCAAGTTGCTATTATCAGAGTTGTCATATCACTTCTTTGAAAATTTGTTTCATAGACATTTTTGTCAGTCGTTTGTATTCTCTTCCTTTCTGTTGTTGTTAACCGTTGGTGCTGACACAATGTTTAATTTCTTGTTTGGCCTTTTTATTTCATAAATATTTTTTTTAATTGTCAACAATAAATTGTATATACTTTTCAAACTATAAATTCAGTTTTACTCGGGCCACTTTTATATTGAGTCACACTTTGATTTATATTTTCTCAAGTGCACAAACAAAACTCCACAATGATTCTTTTATTTTTGTTTGTCAGTTCCTGATCTCTTTTCAATGCTCGTCTATCTTCTTTTTTTTATATATATTTATTTTGTTTCTCTAAGTTTGCACACCAAAACTTCATCTATAGATTTCTTCTTCAATTCACAATTGAACCGATTTTCATTCAATGATTTCCAATTTTTTCTTTTCTTTTATTTGAATTCAACTTCTTCTTTTATTTTCTCTCGTTTGCTTCACTCTCGACAAAAATTCTATTTCGCAGATTTTCGATCGATTCGAGTTATTTTCACTGGAGAATTGAATTTAATCACAAATATTTTTCAAACAAAATCGGTTACAAAACAAATATTATATATTACAAACACTGTACGCATTATTTGCATTTATTTTGTTTGTTCGCTATTTTTTTTTTTTTTTGTTTTAATTTATTTATGACGCAAAAATTAAAAACAAACACAAATTAAACGAATTGAAAATAATTGTTAAAAAATGGAATGAATAGCATTGATGGCCTTAGTTACTTTTGTTCGAATTCATTTAAAACCGTTTCAAGATTAAATCTTCTATGTTTTAGCTCGTGTATGTATGTTTATGTTTTCTGTTTTCTTTTTCAATGAATAAAAAAACGAATAAACTCTGGCTCACTTCTTTACCGGCCCGCTGTTCATTCAAAACTGAATTCAATGCACGACCATCGCATCTATTTAATGACTATGAATGTTGAACCCAATGGCAATCCGTTTAATGCGAACAACTGTTGGAGAAAGTGAGACAACCATAGCACCGTACACATATACTCTGTATATTCATTCATTACAATGCATGCTTCATTCTCCTTCGTCATGTATGTTGTTTCGCTCACATTTCTCATCCACATTTTTTCGTTCAATGTTACCATTCTCTTCAGCATACATGGTGCATAGCACAGCGTACAGCTATAGCATGTTGTGCACACATGCCATCTGTTTCCAATCAGTTTCTCTTTCAACCTCTCCTTCGTATCGTTGGAATACATATTCTCTCAGTTGAAACAGCAATATTACATTTTTTTTCTCCCGATAAGTTTGTCTCTTTCATGCATCAGCAAATGTTCATATGCTCAATGGAATTTCTCCGGCCATGAGCACTTCGTGTTTACCCCATGTTCAAGTGTATGAGAGTATATAGTAAATACGAATATTTTTCTGTTTCATTCGTATAATTCTTTAGAAAAGTTCTTATGATCTGTCTGATTTGTTTTTAAACTTTTATACACAAGAATTTCATATGGTTTGAATAAGCGAAAGTAATTCTCTCTTCTGTTTTTAATTTTCATTTTAAATAATTAGATAAATTATTATTTTTTCAATTTGAAAATGGTGAATGAATGAATGCGAAATGATTTAAAATAAGAGTCGGAGAAAAACGATTTTTACGTTTTTTTTTTTTGAAAAAGTAGATTTCTTACTTTTTTGGAAAAAAATAAAAAAAAATATTGAAAATGATTTACCGAAAATAATGAAACGAAAGATTCGGTTTGTCATTTTTTCTAAATTCTTTTCGACAAAACCAAACCGAAACGAACGAATTCGTTTTATGTGATTTTTTTGTTGTTCTTCTCGTAAAGCATAAGTGAAGAAAAACCATATCCTAGTTCAGCGAAATATGTTCGACAAGAACATTCATGAATGCATGTTGCGCTACGTTGGTCTGTGCATGAATGCAATGTTGGCCGGAATTCTCGGTTGTCATGCGGAGAGAGTGAAAAGAGCGTAAAATTTATGAAGATTGGGAGGGGGTAAAATGTTCTCTCTTTGCATGTTTCTTTGTTTACGATTAAAGCGAGATGACTATATGTGTGTGTGTCGAAAAACATTTCGATAGATTGAAATATACATTCTGTTACATACGTTTCAGTTTTGTCGAGATGCAAGAGAATATAACGCAATCGGTGAACACGAGTATACAATGTAACCGAAACGAAGTCGTAACAAAAAGAAAATAAAATAAAAAAATGTTTTAAGCAAGAAATCACCAAGAGACTGAAGACAAAGAGAGAAAGAGAATGAGTGAGCAGGTAATACAATGGGACGAAAAGCAAATTGAAAAACCGTTGTAAAACCAAAAATGTGTGCACAAATTAAATACAATGAACCAAAGAATAGGAATCTATTTGAAATATGTTGGGCCATTTCCTTTTGCATTTTAGCTTACATTTATATCGAAATTCATGGTGTATGCATTTAGCCAAAGACACTGCTCACACATATGTGTTCAATCGTTCACTATATTAAGCTGGATCGGGCCAAATGTATATCGGGATTGGTGAATGAAAATTGAATAAGAGCAGAGGATTGCAGAATTTCGAATTCTCACCACCGAGCCAGATCGATTTAATATTTGTTTACTTTGTACCATGTGTGTAATATGTATCGTATTATACGACATATAAATTGGAAAACACCGGATAATGGAATTAGCAAAAGTTTTACCGAAATGTTAATATTTGAAGATTGAGCGCTAAGAAAGTGAGAACAGAGAACACACACAAAGAGCAACAGAGATCGACACACACAGAGAGAGAGAGAGAGAGAGAGAGAGAGAGAGAGAGTGAGAGAGAGGAAGAGAAATGGGTGAAAATGGAGAAAGAGAATTACAAGCAAGCATTGGACGATTACTAGCTGTAAGAAAACCCATTTTAGACGTCATTTGAGCGCTTCGCAATGGAAAAACAAAATACCCCGACTACACTCGTTACGCGCTTGTGGACACAATAATCATTTTCTCGTTGATGCCATTATTATAATTCTTATATTCTGTTGTTGTTTTTTTGCACTCGAAACGAAATTTATTTCGCGCAGCATAAGCACGAGAGAGAGAGAGAGAGAGAGAGAAAAAGAGAGCACACACACATCAGAGCACAAGCTGTGTGCTGAAGTGTTCTGGCAAATCCAGTGTGTGAGGCGCGAGCGAACGACAGTGACACATACACACAATATATGCGAATAAGTTTCAAGAATTCTGTTACCATTGTTGATTCACTGTTGTTTTATTATGTAAAAAAAATCAATTTTGAATACGCGCGGTTGCTCCGCCTTTTAAAACAGATGCAGAGAGCTAAAAAAACAAACGGCAAAAAGTTAACAACACAATATGTAATAATTTTCGCCAGCCATGTGTGTACGTATTATTTTTTATCCTTTCTTTCCTAGATGTATTTTGCGTGGCTTTTTATTCTGCATTTCGCTATGCGTACGTGCCTTTTCGCTCCCGCTTTTTCCCTTTCCATCGCGCGTATTTTATTTCCACTTCATTTTAATGTTCACTTTTATTGCATTTTTTTTTTTGCGTCGTCGTCGCTTTATTCAGCTACAATATTTTTTTTACCGTCTCGCACAAAATACCACATCAGTCTCTAAAGTGTCTATCAGCGTTCTCAACGGCGGCCATTTTTCGATTCCGACGCCGATCCGACGCCGAGGATATTCAATCCGAGGCCGACCGATCTCCGAATATCTCGGATCGGATCGGATCGGTGGTCGGTCGTGGTCGGTGCTCGGAGTTCGGAAAAATTTAATGAAAATAATTTTTTTTTATATTTACCAAATGGTTAAATATTATTTGAGTCAAAATGAATAAAATTTTATTGTTCAAAATATCCAAAAATCCTATCTAGATAATAACTCATTTTTATTTAAAAAATTATGTGAACCAATGTGAACGGAAGATCACCATGTAGTAACTAATCGAAAATGCAATAGATGGCGATACTTTGCTTTGCAATCTCAAATTTTGCTTTGACAAAACTGTCAATATCAATGATACATTTTTTAGTGAAAGACATTTTGACATAGTACTACTGAAACAAATTTGAAATTGAAAAATTACCGCAGAAAATAGGAGAAAATATTTACGAGGTAAATATAGAACTAATTGAGTACATATTTTGTTAGTTAGACATAGATTTTGCATTCACAGTTTTTTATTTTCACCAAATAGTGAACCAACATCCTCCAACAAAAACAATAAATTCATTCATCCATCATGGAGTACGGTGACAACGAATGGTATTCGATACAGTGGAATAATTTCATGAAAAATTTCACAACCGGCATATACGAATCTATGGCCAACGGTGATTTTGTCGATATGACATTGGCCGTCGACGGACAATTGATCAAAGTTCATCGTTTGGTATTGTCAGTCTGTTCGCCATACTTTCAAGAAATGTTTACATCAATGCCGGTTAGTCAGCACGCATTTGGTAAGTATTTAGTGTTCGGACATTTTAAAATTAACAACTTCAACCAAAATTCTCTTTGCTTGTTTCATGTCAAAAAGTATTTTTGAAAGACGTCTCATTTGATGTGGTCATGAAATTGGTTGAATTTATGTACCACGGAGTGGTTACTGTGCCTAAAAATATTTTGGCGGAATTCATTGCCACTGCCGAAGCGCTACAGATCAAAGGTATCGCTGGAAATGATGATTGGCAGCCATTGTCATCGCAAACGTCTCACAACACTCAAAAGCAACAGTCGTGCACCGTTCAACAACAAACCACCATGAAAAATAGTGAATCACGGTTGATGCAAGCTCAAATAAATTCCGTGAAAACCAATGCACCAACACAAACAAATGTTCAAAAAGAACGGTCGCGCACTGCGCAACAACGAAGCGCGAATTTTATGGAGACTAATGATTTGCAGCTGCCATTATATCATTCGAAGTCCGCACAAACTCGCCCAACAATCAAAGCGGCGTCAACACACTCACATGTTCTACAAAGTCAACCGTCGCGCACCGTACAACAACACAATGTTGATCCAACCAGCTACCTAATGAACTCCGAATACAATAGCGACGACAATGTTTCATTCGTGCAACAACAAACACCAAAACGTGCCTTTCAACGGAAATATAGCACGATTGATGATAGTGTACTACCATCGAAGCGACGAATTGTGTCAGGCGAGATTGATGAGGCATTATCAACGCTTACAAAATTTTTTAAGATAAGGAATGAAAATTCGAACGACAGTTGGTCACCGTCATTTTCAATGTCGAAAGACGATGAGATAGAAAATGATAATCTCGACGATGAACACGACGGTAATGAAAGTAGCGACTGGGTCAACGAATCAAGCGACGAATCGAATACGTCAAGAATCCACTTGAATGAAGAGGGTGAGTTAAGAACATCTACAAATTCAATTACATTCCACATATTTCTAAAAAATTTCATATTCACATTTCAAGGCATTATTTCATACGGAAGAACGAAGTTCAACAAACCATCGTTGCATTTGTACGGATACACCTTTAATTTGCGCACCAAAAATGCTCATGAGGCGACACTGATGGGAAAAAAATTGATTTGGTACTGCTCGAAAAGTAGAGAGAAGTGTCACGCAAAGGTGCATACCGACCAGTTGGATGAACGAGATCGGTGCATACTAATCGGAAGACACACATGTGGCTGATAATGTGAAGAATTATTGTCAACAGTTTGTTCTGAAACCAAACTTTATTCACGGAAACAATAAATTTTGAAAATAATGAAAAAAACACAGCGCATGTATTTTATGAAATAGTTGAAACGTTTATTTGAAAGGCTCTTATTAACTCAGGTATTTGAATACTGTTGTTTCAGTGAAAAAAACTTTTTAAATGCTCAATTTATTTGTAGGTCAAATATTGAGATGCAAATCATGTGAAAAAAAATAATCGATCATAGCGGATTTTGCTGCAATGTTGACTTTTTTATTTTCACGAACTTTCTTCGCGATATGCACCATCATAAATCCAGACAACAAATGTATTATTTGTGATTCGAATACGATAGCGGTCCGTCCATCCTCATGAAAACGAACTTCGACTTTGAACGGTGCAAAAGAAATTATCCGTATTAACTAGTTGAAGATAAAAAATAGCAAATCGATTAATAGTCGAAAAATTCGGTCAGATTTTTTTCATATTTTTGACAACGTTTTCAAGTAAAATTACCTTAGCTGGCCATACCGGGTGACCTTTTAGCTTTGCCCAAACGATATCTCCAACCAAAAATACCTCATAATCACCGTCGTATTCGATTACTGTTGATTCAACTAACCCTCTTTTTTTTGGTGCCTTTTTCGGAAGAACATTCTCTCTCTTTTGATTTTCCTCACTACTTTGAATGATAATTGGCGATCTTTCTTCTTTCTTCAATTTGGCCATTCGTCTTGTTGTGACACGGTTTTCGAAATTTTTAGATTTTTCCAGCAAACATTTTTTTTTTGCTTGTTTTCTCTCGTTTTCTAAATGTGTCATTCGACGTGTAGCGACACCGACCGATTTTTTGTCCGATTTAATATTCTTTTTCGATCGCATTATAATGCACAGAAATAGCCAAAAATACTGACCGAGAGAAAAAAATATTCTATATTCACCTATATGTTTAATCCACGCTCAATGAGTGTTTCGTCAGATTGTTCGTTTGCAAGTGATGATACTGTTGTTTCTAATTAGCTTCACCGTGCACCGATTGCCGCCAAAACGAATTCATAACGAAAGGTGCGTTTTCATTGGTTACGAAAAAGTGGCCATTTTTGTACGTCAAAGTGCTATTGTCATTTATGCAAACACACCTAACGGTGTTTTTGGTATGCAGTGCACTGTGCACAGAGCAATGGAAAAAAATCACCGTCCATACTCTTCAACGAAACATTCTTCAAGTGAGCGTTCATCAAACACGAACATTCATGTAGAATATTTTTCGAACTGTCTATTTTTGTGTTTCGGTTTATATTTTAATATTAATCATGAATCAATCTCTAAGGGACTTCAATACAGAGGATATTGAAACACAGCCAAGGAAAAAAAATCGGTTAAGTGACCAAAGTGATCAAAACTCAAATGTAATCGATAATGATGGTGCGTTAAATAGTTTTCTCATACCAATGTTTGCTGACTTTCACAAAAAAATTATTAATATGTACATGTACCTGAATTCAGAATAATTAAATTAGGTTTGATTTTTTATTGAAATAGCACAATCAAATTCGAGTGCTCGCGAAGCAGAATTTGCAAAAAGAACCGAATTACAAAAAGGGTTGAGGGAATTAAAATATGAAACACGACAGAAAACCGGACGGTACTACACTGCAGAGTACTGGAAAATATTCCGTGAAATAATTACAAATGATAAAAAGGTCGTAAATGACTTCGTCTGCTGCTCCAATTGTAACAAAGTTTTCACGTACATTACTAAAAGGGGCACAAGTAAGTGTTGTATTCAATATTCATATTTATATTTTCTCTGTTTTCTCAAAGATAATTTCTAATTTAAATTAAATCGCATTTCTTTTTCAGGCAATCTGAAAGAACATTATAAAATTTGTAGCAACGGTAATTCTCTGCTATCGTTCGTCCAGAGGAAAAAAGTTAATTTCGCAAAGACAGACAAAGCAACGGTAGTCCGTGCTGCGGTTAATTTCTGTGCTAGAGATATGAGACCATTCAATGCCATTCAAGGTTTGGGATTGGGCGAATTATTGTTTGAAACTTCAGTTGTCGCCAGCAAATACGGAAAAATATCAAAAGAATCGTTTATGGAATTGTTGCCGGCATCAAACACGGTACGTCATAAACATTAATACAAAAATACTGAAACTATGTACTGTACATATTGTGCCGTAGTGTTCCCAACACTAACCGACCGTGTATAGTGTGTAGCTTGTACTGTGCACCGTGCAGTTTCAGTAAACTCTATTCAACTAATTTTGGTATATTTTTTCAATATTTCAGATTAAAAACAACGTCGAAAAACTGTTCATCGAAGAGAAGCAAAAATTAATGTTACAAATTAAAGTTGCTTTGGAAATATCAATTATTTGTATTACCGTTGATATGTGGCAAGATGATGTGAACAAAATTCACTATTTGGGAATGAATATTCATTTTATGCACCGTGATTCCAAAAATAAATTGATTCTTGAGTCTAAAGTGATGGCTCTTAAATCATTCGATGCTGAAGAACGGAAGACTGCTCACAACATAAATAGAGCAATCATGTCTATCATTCACGAATACGAATTGTATTCAAATCTCCATTCAATCGTATTCATTACTGATCGAGGTACAAATATGATTGCATCTTTGAAGGACTATACCCGATTTAATTGCATAAACCATATGTGCAATAACATCATCACTCATGCCGTCGAACATGCAAAAGATGTTATTTCGCAAGTGTCACGTATTGTGAAATATATGAAAGTTAATGGCTTGAACTCGAAATTGACGAAAAATTTGGTGTCTTATGCTTCTACGAGGTGGAATACAATTTACGATATGCTGTACAGTTTCGTAGAAGTTTATGAGGAAATCGTCGACAAAATAACCAATCCAGACTTAGCCAATCTATTAGATGAACTACCGTACGACACCGTCGTTTCGATCCGTGACTATTTGGAACCGTACAAGTATGTAAGCAAGGAAACTGAGGGTGATTTGGATGTAACTTGTGTTAAAATTCTACCGCTGATTGAAACGATTTTGGATCACAATAATTCAAAAGCCAATGACTCAGCCGTTGTTCGTCAAATGAAAACAACCGCTAGAAGCTACATCAAAACTGATATTATACCAAATCTGCCTGCAGATTATAAGCAATGGGCTTTCTTCCATCCGGCATGGAAACGAATGGATAGTTTTAAGACCGTCAATCGTCGAATAATTGTTGATCAAATAAAGACAAGTATAGGTAACATCCTAATTCACACTGAAATGGAGCACGAAGATGTCGGACCGTCCACCGAAAATTCATCTAGATCAATATTTGAAAAACTTCAAGACAATTGCTCTTCACCACCTATAACACAGAACGATGCGAGTCAAGAAATTGAAGATTACATCAACCTTGGCGTTCCAAATGCATTGAATATTAATGTTATTGACTGGTGGGAGGTCAATCATTCACGGTTCCCACGACTGTACAAAAAATTTCTCAAAATTGCACCAATCGTTGCATCGTCCGCTTCAGTGGAACGAATGTTCAGTACAGCCGGCAATATTTTGACAAGAAGAAGAAATCGATTGAATACAGCGCACATCGAACAATTGTTATTTTTGAATAGAAATTTAAAATGATCTAAATTTTTAAAAACGAATGAATGAGATAAATTGACGATTAATAAAAATGGGTACAAAAGAAAAATTAATTCAATTTAAAAAAAATATTGGTTTTAATTTTGTGAGCATCCGATCAATATCCGAAAACCGAATTCCGAAAAAAAATCCGATGGAAAACTCGTTCCGACGCCGACCGAACTCCGAGTATTTTCGGTTCGGATCGGATCGGCGGTCGGTCGGCGGTCGGACCTCGGTCGGATTTGCGAACCCTGGTGTCTATCTCTGTGTTATTTTTTTTAAATTCCTGGATTTTTATTTGGATTATCGTCATGTTGTGTGATGTTCTTCTCTGCATTTTGATTACATATTTTTTAACAACAAAAATTGTTGTTCGCCAAATGATATTTGGTTGAAAATGTGTGTGCGTGTGTGTGTGATGGATATTGAACAACGATCGAATTGAATGAACCGAATAAAAAGGATTGAGAGCGCATAAAAAAGTAACCATAATATACAAATATGTTTGATTCATTCTTTTTGTGCTGCGAGACGCTGCAAATCAATACCAAAATTACATGAAATCCTATTTGATCGCGGTTAAACGTGTTTTGTTTTTATTTATTCGGAAATATATCCAATATATATCATACATACATATACATTTATCATGATTCGCGAAAACTCTCACTCACTCATTGTCAAGTGCCATCGAGGAAGAGAGCGAAAAGCTCAAACTCAAGCGAACTGAAAACCAAAAAAAAAAAAACAACCAACATCCATCGATGAATGTACATGTTGGCGCGAATGTGCTGTTCGAAAATTTCAAATTGATTGTTATTGTTAACGGTCGTTAGTTTTGTTTGTTTATTTCATTATTGTTTGTCTCTTCCGTTTAATGTTGACGTGTGCGGTGTACTGTACACTTACGGACAGATTAGTAGCCGTGATTCAATCAAACAGAAAATTGCAATCTGTTACCTTTTGCCGTTTTTGGTGTATATGATGTTGTTGCCGTTTTTTTTCATTTCATTTTTCATCTATATATGTATCGGGTATAATTGTTGTTGTTGCAGTTGCCTCACCTCACATGAATCTGAAGGTCCATTCACTGATTCACCGCTCAATTTTCACAAAATTTTGGATACGTGCAATTAATATTTTATTCAAGACCTCAACGACGACGAAAGTACAGAGAAAAAAACAACAACAAATAAGTCACTGGTAAAACACACAGTGTTCGCTCAGCCACACATTGCCAATAAACGAATGCACAAACGAACGATGAACATGCGTTCATCAACAATACACAGCAATAACAACAACAACAAAATATAACAACTTGATATATATTTTAAATTCAATCGAGTGC